ATGTGGTTAGATCTTTTGCAACGACAAAGATCAAACACAACGTCAAACATCTTACCAATAGATGAGTCGCAGATACTTGTACAGGATTGGCTCATCATAGCGAGACAGATTTCCTCTTTCTTCCAACCAACAAGCAGAACATTCCTTTGCGGATGGCCACATGGCATTCTGTTGTTGTTGTTGTTGTTGTTGTTGTTCTGTTGTGGTCATTTTTGTTGTAGATGATTGTTGTCGCGTTCGTTGCAGTCGGACATTGACCCCATTGTGCGTTTCCGCCAACCAAAGCGGGAGCTGCTGCCAGTTCTTTTGTTGTTGCAGTCTCTCACAGCGATGATAGGTACAATTGTTGTACTCTTGCACAAAATGTCGCGTGCATTCTTGACAAATGAAAAAGGTTTCTATAAAATCCTTGATCGTGTCGGCCGCCGCCACCATGTTAAAGTACGCTTGTTTGTTGTCTTGCTGGGTTGGTGGTACATGTCGATTGTATTCCGTGACTCCCACCGTCACAATATGAAACAGACTCCACAAACCACACGTATACTCGCTGCCATGTTGTTGACAGGCCAGACTCCAATCGGATGTAGAAAGTGCAAACCGTTCCAGTGTCGATTCCCAGACCCGTTCGTGGTAGACAATGCGGTTGAAATCCAACAAGAGCTTGTCAAGGAGGGCGTGGAACAGTTTCCAAGGGGGTAGTGCATCTTGCAATAGTTCCAGAAACGCCTTGAGTTTGACCTTTCGGTCTTTGGCCAGTGGCCCCTCTGCCATAAAGACACTGTCTTTCATGGTTCGAAAGAAGGACAGATAGGCATCTGTAAAGACTTCCGTTTGTGTGCGAGTCAGAATCCGAGACGAGCTCCTGGACAACGGTGGAGTAGCAGCTTTCTTCTTTTTGATTGGTACTAGTAATTTGTCTCTGTTGTTGGTTTTGGCAGTCCTTGGCACGACGTGTTTTCCAGGTGGTCTCCTGATCCTGTTGTTACTACCAGCTGGAACTTGTGGTTGTGGTTGTAGAGTTGGCAATGATGGAACAGCTTCAGCACCCAAAATAGTGGCCAATTTGAAGGCATGCAATTGATAATCTTGGAGTTGGACAGCCGCTGCCGATGTCTTGTACGCCGGAATGACCTTGATGGTGGGATAGTTTCGAATGCTCTCTTGTCGACAAACTGTCTTGTGGACCGAACAAGACACGGCATGAAATTGTACGTTGCCAAGGGACTGATGTTGAGTTTTTGCTGTCCAATTGCCAAAGTCATTGGCAAATTGCACGTACTGTGGCGCAAATGCCTGGCAATGAGGACACGTGGGGGAATAGAATTCCACAACGCGTGGGTGGTCCATCTGGTCACTCGACAAAAAGTCAGGAATCGGCGTCTCTTTTGAATCATCCTTCAGAGTGGTGTAGTAGTCCATCACAGGATGTGCCTTTGTGGGTGGATTCATGCTGCGATACAAATACTCCTGGATGGCTGCTGCCGTCAAAGGCAATTGCAGTAGAAGAAGGAGCCAACAGAAAACAACGAGAGAGTAGGGTGGTGACATTTTCAAGAATCTTTTGGCTGAATCATCTCTCATCATCTTTCAAGGATTTTCATACTGCAACCATAGTGGCAGTTGGCTTCGCTTTGTATCTTGATATCTGTCTTGATGTTCGCCTTTGCGGCAAGGGACCAAGACCTCGGGCATCTCTGTTATTGCTGTGTCTTGGCTTCTCGGGGTCGGCCTTCAAGAGAACAGATCCTGGATTTAATGAAGCCAGCGCATCTGGCAATTTGCACCCGCTCCCCAAGGGCTCTCTCTTGGGATCAAGCACAAACGAAGACCAACAAGGCCGCACTCAAAGCACAAAGAGACACCGCGGTGTTTCTTTGAAGCGCTTCGAATGCACGTTGCCGGCTGCTAGCTAGCTAGCTATCACAGCATCATCTGCATCTGATCAAAGACGGGAGCAGCAGAAGGCTTGTACAGCCAGAGAGTGTAGAACCCAATGCTGAATTGAAATTGAGATGTGATTTGGTGGAATTTTGCTCCATTTTTGCCATTATTTTTCAGCTGTGGGCGGGTGCCATCGACAAGGACTCGACTCTGCCAAGGCAACCAAGCCTGAGATCTCTTCTCTACTATCTTAGTACCGTATAGTAGAAGACTTCTACAGCTGAAGGTTGGATCAGCAGAGGCTGATTACATGTATTACAGCCGGAGAGAGTCAGTCAAACTTGATTTCTGGTAAATATTTTTCCAACATGGCACCCAATCGGCCTTCGAGGGACAGTGCGGGCGGTGGTGATGATGATGGCAACAAGCAAGGAGTTACTACTGGTAGAAGCTCTCGCCAAAAAAGCTCAGCTCCAAAGCAGCTGACAATGCCAAAGCAAAAGAAGCACATCAACTCCAAATCCAGGCACGAAAAAACCACCAAAAGGAAATTGCTACGAAACGAGCCAATGGAGTTCCTGTTCCTGGTCCTAAACCAAAAACTCATCACCAATCCTCCAATCCATCCACAAGAAACCAAGGAAAGTCAGCTCAAAGAAACACTAATGTGAGTGCAGCAGCATTGCATCAGTCCCGGAATGTGAGATGTGATCGAGTTTGCACATCGAGATCAACCTCAACCCTAATGAAGATCTACCTCGTAGCGTAATTCCCCTCTATTTTAGTTCATACTTTTACGTCGAACTCCCCACCATGTCATCCTTCACATCGACCTCAGTTCGTAGGTTATGAGCCCAAAGCATCATCGTTCTCGCAGTGAAGATATCGCGTAGTGTAGAGCAGGGCGAAGCCGTGATCTGCGCTTACACCCACATCGAGCTGCAATGACGGGACGATGCGATTTGGAAGATGACAACAACAACATGGTGTTGTTGATCCACTCCGCCGTGGTAAAGCGGATGGATTTCGAGTTCGAGTTTCTCCTGGAAATTCGAACTCAGCGTGAAGTATCCAGCACATCAAGATGGCGATGTGGCTG